ATACTATCTCACAATTTTTTAAATTTGTTGTCGCTTACCGTATTGTTCAAATTTATCAACTCATTCTTTGGAATTAAATTATAAACATCATTAACAAAAAATTGTTCAAAGATTTTTTTGATTTTCAGGAGGAATACATACCAATTTGTCGAATATCATCAATATCTTATGCCAAGTTATTATAGAAATATGTTAAAATTTGAAAATCACATCACCTTGATATTATAACAAATCAACCTAACATTTGACTTTCATACTCATAACAAATAAAATTCATCATTTAAATCCCGATCTTTCATACCAAAATAAAATTGCCCACTTTATACCATATATTCAGACATTTATTAATAACAACTTTATACAATAAATTGATTAATTAATTTCTAGAGGAGGGATTAATGGCAACACCTTTCCATTTGTTTCTAATTTTAAAGAGTGTAAGTTCATATTGAATTTGAGATTTAAAAAAAGTGGCACGACAAATAGAGATGAAAAAATAAAAAATAAAGAGTTAAATATCTGTATATATATAATTACTAGCTAATATCATTTAAGAAAACCTATTTAATAAAACCTCTAAAATCTTCCCTCCATTTTCGGTTACAAAATTTATCATTAATGCTTTTTTACTTCTCACATTAATATATTTTATTGAGTGTAATCATGTATTTTTCTATAATATAATATAATAATTAATGCTAATACCAACTAATAATAGTTCACAATAAATATAAATTGCATAATTATAAACAATTGTTTCAAGTTATTTATTTTAACATCAATATTATCTTTTTCTTTGGTATCTCATGAAAAAATTTCTTTAAAAACAATCAGTAAATTGTTTTAATAGCATAGTCAAACAACTTTAGAATATTATAACCAATTGTTTTTGTAATAATAATAATAATAATAATAATAATAATAATAATAATAATAGTAATAATCAAACTGCTATTATCTAATGATAATTAATAATTGTTCATAATAATAAACAATTATTAATTTATTTTTTCTAATAATTAAAATTTAAAAATGTAATATGTTCATTATCTAAAATTTTAATATTAAATTATCAAATATTACTTATTATATTTTATGTAAATATGTGCATGTGCACAGGATATTCACTAGTTTTACAATAATTTTAACGGATATTTCTTCATAAATCCCTAATGCACATTTCAAATGCCTTGTCAGTCCCTAGCACTTTAAAACTTCTTCTGCACTCCCTAACACAATTTTATCTTTCCTCCCAACTCCCCATATAAATACTAATACTATTATTATTGATTTATTTTACATAATTTTTTATTCTCTTTCTTCACTCTCTCTTTGCATCCCTCTCTTTTCGTCGAACACGATTCTCTCTCTTCGTGCATCTCGCTGCCGGCAAACTCACTATCTCCGTCGCCGACGGCTTGCTCAAAATTAACATCGGATTGAGCATTTAAAATAAGTCCCCAAAACAATTTCATGTTGTTTGTTTGTCAATGAGCAGGGTGGGATTGAAATTCCATTATCTGAATCCCTAATTACTTCTTCCCCAATTTGCAAAAGCCACATGAACCCACCAAGTTACTGAGCCCGTGCTCAACGACCGCCTGGGCAAGAAAGTGCAACGAGGACGACACCATCGGAGATCTCAAGAAGCTGGTTGCCGCACAGACCGGCACACGCGCCGACAAGATCAGGACCCATAAGCGGTGCACCATCTACAACGACCACATCACCCTCAAGGACTACGAGGTCCACGACGGCATGGGCCTCGAGCTCTACTACAACTAGGTTCTTCGCTATTCCCCCAATTAATTTCAATTTCGACCTAATTTTGCGTAATTCTGCTCTCTCTCTCTCTCTCTCTCTTTATCTGTATTTCATTGTTTTGGGTGATTGAGAGAATAGGATGATGTTGGCACTTTGATTGTGCTAGCACGTCTGGTGTCAAAGATAATGGGGTCAGTGTTGGAATTGGTGAGATGGTGGGGGATTTGGAGAAAATGACGTTGGGTGAATGGTTTGAATTCTTAGAAGTTTATCTTCCCAAACATATTATTGATGAGACGGAGCAGATGATATCTGAGATGAGGAAAAAGGCGGAGAGGTTGAATGAATTTATGCTACAGCATAAGAATGCTAAGAGCGGTGTGGTTATGGACTAGAAAAGCGGATGGGTTCCCTTTGTGCTCTTTTGGTAATTTTGACTAGCATTTCCTTACCTCCTATCATCTATAAGATTACTGTGCTTAGATTAGTGCTGCTGAAATTTGTGCACGTGTTCTGTATCGGTTATGACATTCTCTGAATGTACTCTGCACTTATTGTAATTATATGTTGATTCAAAAATTAATCATTGAACTCAGTGGCTACAGGCTATACAGGCCACAGTTTAGTCTGAATGCCTGATGCACCTTTTATGTTACGTAGATGTACTGCTTTTAATATAATTATATTTGTTGAATTGAATTTTTGAGGAAACTCAACAGTTTGTTTGGTATTGGTGCTTCTGTTTGATTCTTCATTGTTAAAATGGCTGAGGAAATGGAGTGGGTGTGTTATAACAATTTGAATATGAATTAGGGCCGAGATGTTGTTTGGTGTTTTATATCAATTTGAATATGAATTAGGGCTGAGGTGTTGTTCGGTGTTTTATATGAATTTGAATGGCAATTAGGGTTGTGGTGTTGTTTGGTGTTTTATAATTTTGGATGAGGTGGTGTTATTGTTAAAATGGGTTGAGGTGTTGTTATTGTTGAATTGTATCGTTGTTTGTATCTCTTTCTTATGTTTGAAAATTGTCTTTATTTTATTTGTTTTTGATAGGGCACCGAACTAAGATGTAGGTGTGCCCTCTCATACTTCAAATTCTTGGTTGGCGAGCTAGTTCGTCATTCCCGATCGAGCGAAGATCATACTTCGATGGATGTGCTACTAGTTTGATTGTTTGATGGATGATTGTAATTTTATGGATGATGGTTTGTGGGACTAAGTAGTTTGAATGGATGTTTTGGATTTTTTTGATGTGATTCCTAATGATACCTGTTTTCTTAATATCAGTACCGCATTTTTAGTGTAAAAGTACTCATTTTCCAGTAGCTAGTACTCATTTAAGGATGTGTTTTTAAACTGTATACCAGTTTCTATTCATAGTAGTACCTATTTTCTTCACAATAGTACCGGTTTTGTATTGTTATTGTACCGGATATTAGCTCATCAGTACCACTTGTAACGAACACATAAAACATCGAATTTTGGTCTCAAATGATGTTTACATGACAAATAATCACTCTCACACTAGTTTTTATGAGATTTATAATGTTTTTAATTAAGTTTAATTGTAAATTGGTCGCGAACTCGACACACTAATGAAAAAACACTACCAACACTTCATCTCATTAAAACTATACTAGTTTTAGGTAAAATAGTACTGCATCTTCTTCTACGTGGTACCTGCTCTTGATCGATTAGTACCTGCTTTTGTGAAGAAAAATTGATTATTTCAATTGTGGTCAACATTTACAAAAAGTAGTACCAGTCATAGTGTAAGATAGTACCACTTTATGGCGTGTTGGTACCAGATATCGTCTCTCTAATACCACTTGTAATGAACACATAAGAAGACCGAATTTCGTTCGCAAATGATGTTTATACAACCCATAATCACTCTCACATTAGTTTATATATGATTTTAAATGTTTCTTATTGAGTTTAATCGCAAATTGGTCATGAACTCGATACACTAATGAGAAAACACTACTAATAGACTTCATTTCATTGAATGACACACTTCATCTCATAGAAATCATCATACATGACCACTTTAAATTCTACCTACATGTCTTCACTTCCACGTTTTTTTTCATCCAAATCACGTGTGAACGATCCACGTGTCATGGTAGACATGAAAGATTTGAGAAATCGCGATTCTGATAATAGTACCGATTTTGGGCAACGTAGTACCGCATCTTATTCTGCGTGGTACCTAATGTTGATCGAATAGTACCTACTTTTTTGAAGAAAAATTGATTATTTCAATTCTGCTCAACATTTACAAAAAGTAGTACAGTCATAGTGTAAGTCAGTACCATATTATGGAGAGTTGGTACCAGATATCTTGTTCCTAGTACCACTTGTAATGAACACATAAGAAGACCGAATTTCGGTCGCAAGTGATGTTTATACGACCGATGATCACTCTGACATTAGCTTGTATAAGATTTTAAATGTTTTTGATTGAGTTTAATCGCAAATTGGTCATGAACTTGATACACTAATGAGAAAACACTACTACTAGACTTTATTTCATTAAATGACACACACTTCATCTCATAGAAATCATCATACATGGCTACTCCAAATTCTACCTATATGTTTTCAATTCCACTTTTTTCATCCAAATCACGTGTGAACGATCCACGTGTCATGGTAGACATGAAGGATTAGAGAAATCGCGATTTTGATAATAGTACCAGTTGTGGGAAACATAGTACCGCATCTTATTCTGTGTGGTACCTGATTTTGATCGATTAGTACCAGTTTTTGTGAAGAAAAATTGATTATTTCAATTCTGCTCGACATTTACAAAACGTAGTACCAGTCATAGTGTCAGGCAGTACCACATTGTGGCAATCCAGTACCAGATATTCTGTCTCTAGTACCACTTGTAATGAACACATATGAAGATCGAATTTCGGTCGCAAGTGATGTTTATACGACCGATGATCACTCTGACATTAGCTTATATAAGATTTTAAATGTTTTTGACTGAGTTTAATCGCAAATTGGTCATGAAATTGTTACACTAATGAGAAAACACTACTACTAGACTTCATTTCATTAAATGACACACTTCCTCTATTAGAAATCATCATACATGAGTACTCCAAATTCTACCTATATGTTTTCAATTCCAGTTTTTTCATCCAACTCACGTGTGAACGATCCACGTGTCATGATAGACATGAAGGATTAGAGAAATCGTGATTTTGATGATAGTACCAGTTGTGGGAAACATAGTACCGCATCTTATTCTGTGTGGTACTTGATTTTGATCAATTAGTACCAACTTTTGTGAAGAAAAATTGATTATTTCAATTCTTCTCAACATTTACAAAGCGTAGTACCAGTCATAGTGTAAGACAGTACCACATTGTGGCAATCTAGTACCAGATATTCTGTCTCTAGTACCACTTGTAATGAACACATAAGAAGACCGAATTTCGGTCGCAAATGTTGTTTATACGACCCATGATCACTCTGACATTAGCTTATATAAGATTTTAAATGTTTTTTTATTGAGTTTCATCGCAAATTGGTCATGAACTCGATACACTAATGAGAAAACACTATTACTAGACTTCATTTCATTGAATGACACACTTCATCTCATAGAAATCATCATACATGACTACTCCAAATTCTACCTATATGTTTTCAATTCCATTTTTTTTCATCCAAATCACGTGTGAACGATCCACGTGTCATGATGGACATGAAGGATTAGAGAAATCGCGATTTTTTGATAATAGTACCGGTTGTGGGAAATATAGTACCGCAACTTATTCTGCGTGGTACCTGATTTTGATCGATTAGTACCAACTTTTGTGAAGAAAAATTGATTATTTCAATTCTGCTCAACATTTACAAAACGTAGTACCAGTCATAGTGTAAGGCAGTACCACATTATGGTGATCTAGTACCAGATATCATGTCCCTAGTACCACTTTTAATGAACACATAAGAAGACCGAATTTCGGTCACAAATGATGTTTGTACGACTCATAATCACTCTGACATTAGTTTATATGAGATTTGATATTTGGTTAATTAAGTTTAATCGCAAATTGGTCACGAACTCAACACACTAATGGAAAAACATCTTAATACACTTCAACTCATTGAATAGTACCAGTTTCTACGAAAATAACACCTGTTTCTCTTCTACGTAGTATCTGTTATTAATCGATTAGTACCAACTTTTGTGAAGAAAAAATTATTGTTTCAATTCTGCTCAACATTTACAAAAAGTAGTACTAGTCATAATGTATTGCAGTACCACTTTATGGCGCGATAGTATCATATATCATGTCCCTAGTACCACTTGTAATTAACACATAAGAAGACCGAATTTCGATCGCAAATGATATTTATACGACCCATAATCACTCTGAAATTAGTTTCTATGATATTTAATATTTGGTTAATTAAGTTTAATCGCAAATTGGTCACGAACTCAACACACTAATGGAAAAACACTACTTAATACACTTCAACTCATTGACTAGTACCAGTTTTGACGGATATAATACTGTTATTTCTTCTACGAAGTACCTGTTATTGATCAATTAGTACCAGCTTTCTGGAATGAAAATGTAATACACCATTAAAACTTCACAAAACTGTTACCTATATTGCAGTATAAAATGCCAGTATATTGTACAAAAAATATTACTAATAAAGTGTCATTTACTACCCACTCTTTGGAATGAAAATGAGTACACAAGTATGGACAATATTGCATTTTCGGATGGCAATCTGCTGATCCCCTTTGTATAACGATGCATATACTCTCCATTCACAATCCGCATCGCTACAACAAACGATGACCTTCTGCTTGTCATTTTTCCGATACTTAAAAGACCGCTTGTTTGCAATCGCGTAGTTTTTGACACTCTTTCGAAATTCGTCAGCCCCACTGAATATCTGCCCTTCTCCTTTGATGCAAGATCTCCAAGAATCGGTCGATTTATCTTGCAACAACTCATCTTCTCCCTACGAGAAATCATTAGACTGTACGTTTTCCCTGCGTTCATGACAAAATAATACAAAGATTTATAAATAATGGAACTAGTTAAAAAATTAATGAACTAGGATATGATACGACTATACCATATTTCAATAATAAATTCATTAATATCATAAAAGCGACATTACCTGCTCATGTTCATCGGGATCGATTGAACTCTATCATCCGGTCTTTCATTTTTTTAAATGGCAATTATGTCTACATTATTTATTTTCCAACAAACATGTAACTGAATCATGTTCATCACATTCTCATCATCCAACAAACTAACACTCTTTTTTTCCTTTGGCACAATATAGCATAGCACGACGGATTCGAAATTAACATTCGACCACCTCTTTGATATGAGAGTGTACACTCCGTTAAGCGTTGATCCAATGTGCATAGAGAACACAAACAATTCATTCTTGTACGTACAACTCCCTAGTATATCACTTTGTGCCCCTTCCATGTATCTAACAATAATTGGATAAATAAAAAAAATACTTCACGTTTCCCAGGAAAATATGGTACAAAACAATATTAAAGTGGTACTATATACATACAAACAGAGGAACAATAATCAATAATAGTGGTACAGTGATCATTCCCACCTTATTTTCTTGTTTTAGGCTGAATAACACATTATATAACCTAACAATAACATCAATTTCGTATACATAAACAAGAAATAAGAGATTTTGATCAATTTAATTGATTTAGGGTAAATATGAACAACAATTTTCAAAATTCAATCTTTAACAAATTAAACAAATATATACGAATTAAACATGATTTTTGGACTCCAAAATGCTCATATAATATATATATTACTTACTACTTCAAATTTTGGCCGGAAAAAGCGCGAATGTTGCTGGAAAAAATGAATTTTTGGCCGCACAAATTTGACGTCGGAATCACTTGTTTGACTGGATTTGTTGTTGCCGGAATTCTTTTCGCCGGATTTGGGTCGCCGGAGAGACCGACCTGCAAAAAAAAAGGAGAGAAGAGAAATCGCCGGTGGGAATGGAGGAGGACGGGAGAGAGGAGAGATGTGTGGGGAAGAAATTTCAACAAAATAAAATAAAGGAAAAAAGAAAATGTAGGTATAAGAAAAACAAAATGTCTAATAAAATATAATATTACCTTAT